ATAAATTTATGTATATATATATATATATTTATGTATATCTGTATATATATATATTTATGTATGTGTATATATATATACAAATATACATATTTATATATATATCTATATATCTATATCTATATCTATGTATATTTACATGTATGTATATAGTGGGAATATCTGTTCTGATATCAGAATTAATATTTGCGACCTGGAACACCCTTTGTTAGGAATAGATCCTGCCACTCGAATCTTCTCTACTTCTCGTATTGAAAATCCTACTAGCATTAATGCACATCACATCTGTTCGATTGCGATCGTCGAATGCTATAGAATTTATGGTGTTTATTGGCTTTGTAGCAGTGGTGGCAGCGATTATAGTTATATATTTTAAAAATTAGTGTGTTGCCTGTATTGTTTTGGTCACCGGTTGTAATATAAAATAGCCGGAATAGTCGCACTAGAGTCTATCTTTGGTGTTTTAAAAAAAGCCTGGCTTTTTCAGATAGTCCGGAATGACACTGGGTTTATTTTGTTATAATAGTTGAAAAACATCTCGGTTTGATTGGTAATGTCATACAATACGAGCAGACCGCATTCCTCCAGAGTGTAAAAATTAACCTGCATTCTCTGTGTTCTCTGTTTTTAATACTATTTTTGACGAAAAGGCCGTGTGAGAGTCATTGACTCATACTCATCGACATCTTTTTTTTGTATTGATGTACTGTAGCTGTGCCCCAGACGGCCTTTGTTTTTTTTGTTTTTGTTTCAAAAATGTTGGAGTCGGCAGCTCCTATCGGGAAAATTCGGGATTCGCGGGGGAATCCGAATTTTGGATTGTTTTTGGGTCTGGGACTATTCTCGAAATTTCAGTGCACAATGTCGAAAAATTGTGGCCAATGAGTTTTGATGAGTCATCATCACTTGACCCTTGCAAAACGACTAAACGTAGAATTAATGAGAAATCGCGAATAGGTTAGAGCTTAAAGTTCGTAGACATTAAGTAGACATTTAGGCTTAGTTGTAGACCTTTAGACCGCTACGGGTCTGTCGGAAATTGTATAAATAGGGTAGTATAATCGCTTGCAATCCTCAGACTTCAACACAAAGGATTAAGAAAGATTAGAGGAGGATTGCCAAGACTACTTGAATCGTAGACTTTGACTTGAGCTGAGCCAAGAATCAAATAAAGGATACTACCGAGCCTGTCTTTTGGTAGGGTTTAGGGTTCCTAGAGTACTTTGTGGACTAGGATTTTTGGACTCAGGCCTTTTCGGGTTTGGCCAAGGATTTGTGGAATCTCGGGATTGTCGGCCACGATCAAATTGGGATCAGGACAGGAAATTAGGATCAGGGATCTTATAAAAACATGAAGAAAAAAACACCTTTGACATTCGCTGTTTTTTAACTGTTTGTGCAGTTATTTATAGTTATACTGTCCTGCCAGTTCTCCAGGACTCCAGAAAGCCCAGAGACTTGGAGTCAGAGCCCCAAACCTCGCTTATCTGAATGATGACCCCATGAATCACCCCCCAGGCCCAAATGGGCCCAGTCTGTCAGTCAGCCACCCAATGAAACGAGTTGTTTTGCCGCTAAACGGCCAACAGCCTTCTGTCTCGTACAAATATTTAAATACTCCCTTTGAGCGATTGGTACAAAAGTGGTGTGGTCCCGTGGGTTTCATCATTTCATGCACTACAGCAGATAACTTTATGGAACTGTAGCTTACTAGTAGTGTCCATGACTTTGATGATTTCACCTTATGCTATATGAAATTCCAACAAGATTATTGGAAACCTACACAACAGCCAAATAAGATGCGACTGAAAGAGTACTTGGAAAGGAAGATACCGCACTAGATTAAAAGACATAGTATGAACTAACTATCCGGACGTTCACAATAGATAATAGTTTTTGTGGGTTTTATTAAGAGCCAAAAAATGTAAATACATGTAGCCTTCTGGCTCTAGAGTCCAGCCTTCCGTTTTTCACTTTGTTTTCTGTTTGGATTTTGCAAAAACAAAATATAACACCAAAAAATAGCACTCAAATGTGTTGTGAGGGTTTAGGCCTTAGGGCTATGAAGAAATAATCATTGTATGATATTATTTTTCAGAAAATGTATATTTTATTTTTACTTTTATATAAAAACAGTATCCTATAAAAATATCATAAATATAAGCGGTAAATAAATAAATATATGTACCCGTATCATACCGACCCGTATCATATGGGCTAAAAAAACATCCTTTTTCTCCAAACAATATTTAAAAATTGTGCTTTAGTTTGTTTCTATTTTTAAATTATTACCCAATAATATTAGTTTATTGTAACGTTCTAATATAAAGAGTTATAGTGAATATATACGTTTTTTAAAATGCAACCAAAGTTTTGATATAGTATATGTACCTACGTCCTACGTCCTACTATGATTATAAATTTAAACTTAGGATTGTAAGTCATTCAGAACCCGAAAATGTATTGCTACACATTGT